TTTTCATTCAATCCCATAAATTATTATTATGCTATGATATGAACTGAATGTGTGTCCCTCCCAAATTCATATCTTGAAATCCTCACCCCCAACGTATTTGGAGGTGGGGCCTTTGGGAGGTGATTAGGTCATGAGAGCAGAGCCAACATGAGTGGGATTAGTGCCCTTACAAAAGGGCTCCCTCACTTTTTCCACCATTTGAGCATAAAATGAGAAGATAGCCTTCTGTGAACCAAGAAGCAGGCCCTCAATAGACACTGAATCTGTCAGTGTCTTGATCTTGGACTTCCCATCCTAAAGAACTGTAAGACATAAATTTCTGTTGTTTATAAGCTACATAGTCTATGGCACATTTTTATAGCAGCCCAAACAGACTAAAACATCCTACTAGCAGATTTGCAAAAATGTTCAATTGTCATTAAAGGCAAGAAAAAAAACATACGAAGCATTATAAGAAGTTTAAGACACTTCTAGTTCCCTCTCCTAAGTCCCCAATGCAGCTAACATTGAATGACTCTCTTAACCAGGACACTTTAAAAATGGGAAAGGTATGATCTTCACTAACAGCTACACAAAAATTCTAACTATAAAGAGAATTTGAAGCAGGCCTGGAGAAGAGGGTGCTGGTACACAGGCCTTGAATTCCAAAATCAAGCACATACCCATAAAGACCTGGAACCACCTGGCAATTCCCATACTTGCTGTTGTAAACCAGAATTAGTATACATGCATTAATGGTATTACATACAAATANAATCAAAAACTGGAAACAAGCCATATGTCCTTCAGTAGGTGAACAGTTAAAGTAACTGTGGTACATATATAACACAGTATGGTAGTCAGTCTTCAGCAACAAAACAGGAACAAACTACTGATAAACCTAAAATCTCCAGAGAATCATGCAAGCAAAAAAAGCCAATCCCCAAAGGACTGTATGAGTGCATTCATACAACATTCTTGAAACAACAAAAATATAGAAAGAGAATAGATTCGTTATTCTGGGCGATAAAGAGTGGCGGGTCGGGGAAGGGAAGAGAATGTAGCTAGGGAAGGCCAACATGAGTGGTCCGCGTGGTAATGGATCTGGTTCTGTATCTTGACTGTATCAATGTTAACATCCAGGTTGTGAGATTTCACTATAGTTTGGCAAGATGTTACCACTGGGGGAAACTGCACGTTACTTTTTTAACTATTGTTAAATCTACTAATACTNGAAAAAAAAAAAAAAAAAAAAAAAAAAAAAAAAAAAAAAAAAAACTAATGCAAATGATTCTTATACTTGGAAACATAAAGTGCCAGGATTAAACTGAAACTTCCCAACAAATGGTCCCAAAGTTAATGAAAACCAAGTATTCTAATAACCTCCTGAATGAATCAATAACCTCATAACATCTAAATACTTTTTTGTCAGATCTTCTAAGAGTTTTATTCACGAATTGGACATCCTGAATAAAACAAAGCAGAAGCTACAGAGCTTCAAATACGTATTAAGATTCTTAAATGACTAGCACAAAATTAATTTTAAGAGTTAAGTTTTCATACCCATTAATGATAAGGAAAAAACAGTAGGATTTAACGCATGAAGAATATGTACAAACTTATTTCAGAAAAACTTTACAACACTTTGAAGAACACAAAAAGATGACTCGAAAATAGGAAGACACACTGTTTTTGCATAGAAAGACGTCATCATAAAGGTAGTTGATTCTCCCTAAGTCTATAGATTAGAGACCAATGGTACAAAATAAGAAGTCCAGAAGTAGATTCCAATATGTGTGGAAATTTAATAAGTGATAAAGGTATTTATCTCAAATCAGGGAAGGAGAGATAAATTTTTCAATAAATAGTGTTGGGAGATTCAGGTAGCCACCTGGAAAATACAAAGTAGAACCCATATCTCACACCATGCACCAAGAAAAACTACAAATGAACTACATATTTAGATGTAAAACAAACTAGACCATAAACACACTAGAGGAAAACACAGTCAAATTCCTTTATAACCTGTAGTAGGGGCAATACTTTTCCAAATATAAGTTAAAACCTAGAAGCCATTATTAAAAAAAAAAAAAGACCAATAAAGTCAATTTGTAGGAATAAACTCCTTAATGCTATTTAAAAAATAAACGTGTGCATGGCAATAATAATGATAAAAATAAGCAAAGTAAAAAATAAAAATAACAACCTAGCAAAATATTTGCAACTCATATAACAGATTAAAAGCTCCTAGAAACTCTATGAATTTCATAAGAACCGAATCAAACTGATTTTTTGTTGTTGTTGTTGTCCTTTTTGAGACCGGCCGCACCGCGCTCAGCCAGTGAG